CTCTTATTTGATCCGAAAACGATTTTTCCGACCAAATCCAAGTCTTCCTTTCCGAAACTTCACGTATAAGTCCATCCCTAGTGGTGTGTGATCCTGTAGGCCCATTCTAAGTGGTAGTGACTTTAGGAACTTTTGCCGAACCACAAGTCATGGTTAGCCTCTAGCAAGACGCCATGACCACCCATTTAGAATTGAGTTAGAGGTGATCTAACCAAGGCAATAACAGCTCGAGTTCTGATCCTTTATCTCACGATATCATGTGTTGAACAAGGGCATGGTTTGAGCCACCCTTCAACTTCAATCGCTTTCTCGTCTTGGTAAATCGACTAGTAAAATAGATGCAACTTCATCTATAGCGTGGCCACGCATTTTCATAGTCCGACTTTCACGAGAGGGCCCAGCGATATCTCTCCTATTGAGGAGGTGATAAGTCCCATATTGCATGTCTATTATCTCCATATGATTCGTGAACGTATCTGATCAACGCCTTTATGATCATCCGGTTAAAGACGACGTTTGACGCAGTCAAGACACGCCACTCCTCATATCAGATACTCTAGACATCTCAGGTCTGAGGATCCAAGAACGAACCGCTTTATGAGATTCAAGTCATGACTCTGTCCATGTGACAATCTCATGCGGGTCAACCAGTCACTCGTTTACAACGAGTACCCATGATTGTGACATGCATTCAATGCATCGATCACACCTCATGCTAGTCTTAATTCATCATTGTTCCCACAATGATCACTGACCAGGGTGTTTAGAATCATTCTATGATGATTCAAGGATAACCGCAATATAACAAACATGCCAATCATATAACGGGAATGTAATGTATTCATAAATCAATTAATCAATACAAAGTCAAAATGTCATATTACGGATTATCCTAGAGCATTACAACCAACAATCTCCCACTATGCTCTATGATCTATCCTACAAGCATCTAATCCCCATACCCTTAACATGACCATCATGTTTTGACGAAGTGAGAGGCTTCGTCAATGGGTCGGCAGTATTATCATCTGTCGACACTCTGCTTATCTTCACGTCTCCTCTGTCGATGATTTCTCTGATCAAGTGAAATCGCCTGAGTATGTGTTTGGATCTCTGGTGTGACCGGGGTTCCTTAGCTTGCGCAATCGTACCATTGTTGTCACAGTACAACTCAATGGGATCTGCAATGCTAGGAATAACGCCCAGGTCTCCCATGAATTTCCTGATCCGAACAGCTTCCTTAGTTGCATCCGATGCAGCTATGTACTTGGCTTCTGTAGTCGAATCTGCAACGGTTGGCTGTTTGGAACTCTTCCAACTGATAGCCCCACCGTTCAGGCAGAAAACATAACCTGACTGCGATCTGAAGTCATCTCTATCGGTTTGGAAACTAGCATCGGTATAACCACTTATAGCGAGCTCGTCTTCCAATCCGCCATACACCAAGAACAAATCATTGGTCCTTCTCAAGTACTTAAGGATGTTCTTGACCGCAATCCAGTGAACCTCACCTAGTGTAGATTGATATCTACTAGTCATGCTCAATGCATATGATACATCTGGACGAATACACAACATGGCGTACATGATGGACCCATCTGCCGAGGCATATGGAATCCTACTCATGCGCTCTTGCTCATCCTGTGTCTTTGGACACTGAGTCTTGCTAAGAGCAACGTCATGTCCCATTGGCAAGGCACCCCTCTTGGAGTCTTGCATCTTGAACCGATTCAAGACCTTGTCAATGTATGTACTCTGACTTAGACCAAGAAGCCTTCTCGATCTATCTCTATAGATCTTGATTCCTAGAATATAGGCGGCTTCTCCTAAGTCCTTCATCGAAAAGACCGATCCTAGCAAGGATTTTACGCCTTGCAAGGTAGGAATATCATTTCCGATGAGCAATATATCATCCACATAAAGTACAAAGAAGACCACTGCGCTCCCACTGACCTTCTTGTAAACACATGGCTCATCTTCGTTTTGCAGGAAGCCAAACGTTTTGACTGCCTCGTCAAATCGAAGATTCCAGCTCCTCGAAGCCTGCTTCAGTCCATAAATGGATCTCTGAAGCTTGCACACCTTCCTCAGACTCTTAGGATCAACAAAACCCTCGGGTTGTGTCATGTACACATCCTCGAGCAAATTCCCGTTAAGGAATGCGGTCTTGACGTCCATATGCCATATCTCATAGTCATAATACGCAGCTATGGCCAGCAGAATCCGAATGGATTTAAGCATCACAACTGGTGAAAAAGTTTCATCATAGTCTATACCATGAATCTGCCGAAACCCTTTCGCGACGAGTCGTGCCTTATAGGTATGCACGATGCCATCCATGTCGGTTTTCTTCTTGAAAACCCACTTACATCCAATGGTCTTAATACCATCGAATGAGTCGACCAAAGTCCATACTTTGTTGTCGTACATGGACTGCATCTCAGACTCCATGGCATGGTGCCATTTCTCGGAATCGGAACCCGCCACAGCCTCTGAATACGACGTAGGCTCGTCATGTTCTAACAACATGAGTTCATCGTTTCCAGTCACAAGAAAACCATATCTTGTAGGCTCTTGGCGAATTCTACCAGATCTCCGAGGTTCACTAGGAGGTGCTGTCTCAACAACTTGTGACACAGGTTGAACTGATTCGCCCTGTTCACTCGGTTCCTCGACTATTTGTGGTTCTCGAACTTCTTAGAGATCTATTCTACTCCCACTGACTCTCTTGGAGAC